AGAGAGAGAGAGAGGAGAGAGAGAGAGAGAGAGAGAGAGAATTGTTGTTACATTTTTTAAATATATAAACATACAATTAAATTAGCGCGCGCACGCACGCTATTTCTGACATAATATATCTATGAAATATAATATTATATACATGAATACTGTAATTAATCGTCACCTTAAGGCGGAACATCACTCCTGAGATCCTAAAATTTTGGAAACTTTTTATGGGTAAATAAATAACTTTATTTGAAATCTGCTTTATATAGAAGGCTTTATTGTACGTATATAAAAAAATTAAAACTTTTCTTATATCCAAAATGGCGGCGCATTGGCGGAATCTGAGGCTGTGTTCCAAAATTGACTGCCAGTACTGAAAATCTATAGTGCACGTAACGTAAACTGTAGCATTTTCTGTGCTGGCAGTAAATTTGGAACACAGCCTGATTCTGTCTGATGCTGTGTCGCCACCGTCAACGCAGAGTTCTTGGCCGAGTACTCAACTACTCAGGAGCCTTAAATTCAGAGACTTTCACACTCTCAAAATTATAATACATGCAAACCTAAAACATAAAGATTTTATCCTCATTACTTTTTCCATTGCTATTCTTCTAGACCATAGGAACATCCTGTTTTCTGTTTTTTTTTTTTAAGCGTTTCTGTTAATCATAAGTTTTAATCGCGGTTTCTGTGGCTGAACTACCGCTGGATAATGATGAATTGTTTTCATTAACCGGCAGTGTCGTATCAAGGCATGGGCTGAATAGACTATGTAGCTCAGGGCAGCAAATTTTAGGAAGAATTTTTTTTAGTTGAGTATTGAAATAATGTTTATAGATAAATTAAAGTTGCAAGATAAACAAGGTAATTCACAATGAAGTACCATTTATTCTTATATGTTTTTCAATTTGTTGTACTTTTTGTATTTCGAATAAATAAAAAATTTCTTTAAATAAGATTTCGAGAAAATTAAGTTTTAAATTGATCTAATATAATTCCTGAAAAAGAATTTATCTAAGTGACACATCTTATAAGAGAACTGTTGAAATATTTCAGCTTGTGGGCGCAAAACGAGTTAATATGGCTGTATCAATCGGCACGTTCGATTTCTAATTTGATAACAGTTACTTCACTTTTTTTTAATTAAATCCCTAGAGCTTTATTACGACACGTTTAGCAAGATGTCTCACGAGAGTTTAGCAATCCTAATTATTCGATGACTATTGATACATGACTCTACATACATACTACGATGTGTTATACAACCTTGGTCTGTGAGATAACCGCGACGCTACCTGAATGAGATAGCTAATGAAAAAATTAATGATACAAAAGTACTTGTAATGTGATTCAAGTCCTCCATCGCAAGTTCCTTCCATCGCATCGTCGTGTTTCATTTTATTGAAAAATTGAAACAATAGTGCTTGTTGCTTGTACGAGCTGGATAACACGTGTCAGCGAACGCGCGTTTAAACACGTTTCTTGAGGTATCTTTATCTGCTGCTTACGTTATTTTTTCCTTTAAATACGACACAAAACGAGGGAATACGAAACAAACATCGCACTTGTACTGTTCTTCATACGAAGTCTCCGCGATCTTGTCGCTACACACGCACATACAAAGTTTATCCTATTCATAAATGTGTTCACGACGGTGGAAACATAGATGACGTTACACGGATTATTATAGATTATTATTAGATAATTATAGATTATTTGAAGAAACGTTAAAATTTTTTAACGATTTATCGTCTTCCTCGATTATCGTTTATTTTTAATTCTTTATCATCGCGCTTTATCGTCGTAGTTCCAGCTAAAAACGCCTGGTTTGTTTATAAATACACAGTATTGCGGTGATTCTTTTAAACGGATACTTACGTATCATTCAATCGATCGATAAGATCCCGAAGTATCGTGATATGTTTTATATACGCTTGTTATCGGTATCACTACAGTTCTAAAGTGATATTTATTTATGTTTGTGTATTCGATAAGATCCCGAAGTATCGTGATATGTTTTATATACGCTTGTTATCGGTATCACTACAGTTCTAAAGTGATATTTATTTATGTGTGTGTAATATGTATATATATATATGTACATATATATATAGATAAATCCTTATTTATTTAATATCACAATTCATCGTATTGCTATTGCACCGACTTTCCTCGTTGTTTTGACGTTATTATCGCTTTCTAAATTTAAAATTTTTATTTATTTTAAATAAAAATACGTTTCTTAAAACTGGCGAATGTTACTAACGGCAAATTCTATAACCAATTAATAACATTTCTTTTCAACAAAAAATGTTCGATGTATATTATGTGCACTTATAAAACTAAATTACAAGTTACAATTTAAATAAAATATTTGGAATATGATTTTATTACGTACGATTTTCTTACGTTTTTCATTTCTCTTAACTTACTAGTTCGTGAAAAATTTTTTTCGTCTATTAACTCGGAAATTTTATATCACATTACGAAAAAATTTAAAATCAAAATTAAAATTACGAATTTTATATATTAATTTTCTTTTAGTATTAAGCAGCAATTAGTGTAAAAATATTTTATCTTAACGCGCGATGTATTTATAAGTACACATTGCACATTGCACAGCATGCGATGGACACATTTTTGCAAAACATATTCTTGAATTATTGTTTAAGTCACGCATATTAAAAAAAACTAGATACTACTAATATTTATTTCTTAAAATATTACATTTTGTATCATAATTATAAAATATTATACAAATTTATTGTTTGCTATGTAAAAAGAGTAAAAAATTTGTTTATTTTAAAGTTTTGATCAAAGAGGGACAGTGTTATTACATGTATCCGAAATAATCCGAATAATAACTAATGATTTTGGATATGAGAGTTCATATAAAAATAGAAAGTAAAATTGTGAAAATACTGAATTTCAAACATTAAGAAAAAAGAGAGATTGAGAGATTTTATAAAAAACAGTTATAATTAAAATCGGCTCGAATTACCATTAGTCTTCGAAAAAATATTTTTTCATTATTTTACTCCTTATTTGTGTATGTTATTATACGAAAGAAACTTCGTTGAAGAAATAATAATAATATTGCCCTTAAAATATATATATACCATATATGGGACGTTCCACGTCAACGGGGACAGGTGTCTGAGCAAACTTTGTGAAGTCGAAATAAGACGTTCGAGAGCTTAAAATTTTCGTTTTTATATGTGTTTTTATGTGTTTTTATATATTTCGAATTTTGGAAATATGACTATGGATTGTTCACGAATGATTCGAAAAACTCATAAATATCGATTTTCATGGAAATCGAATAAATTTTGGACCACCTGAACAATAAAATAAACGTTTTCAATAATTTTCATAAGTTTTTTATTCATTCTAACCGCCATATTGGAGCAGCCGCTTTGAATTTTAAAAAACGTCACGTTTTTCCTTAAACCACATATAAAAACGAAAATTTTAAGTCCTCAAACGTGTTATTTCAACTTCACAAATTTTACCCAGACACTTGTCCCCGTTGACGTGGAACGTCCTATATATACAGGATGTATCTAAAGTAACATATACTAATCGTACAGTGCTATTCCTAATAAAAAATTAAGTCGAAAAGTCCTTTAGCATTTTGCAATTTTCGCAATAGTTAACAAGATATTAATTACAAAAATCGCTGAATATTGGTTTTCAATAATTTTTTACTCAAATACTATCAACTTTACAGAAAAACTGCTAGAGATAAAAATTGTTTACTTTCTTCTCATAAAGTTATGAGAATTTTTTCAGAATGTTTTAATACAGTATTTTCTCATGTTGGTAAAAATAAGATGCAGATACTAAAAAATTGATAAAAAATTCTGAAAAAATTCTTAGGGTTTTATGAGAAGAAAATAAATGATTTTTGTCTGTTGCAGTTTTTCTGTAAAGTTGATAGGGGCGCACGACTCCCAAACAGAGGGTAGGGGGGGGGGGGGATGAGAGTCGGGAGTGAGAGTCATGCGTCCCTTTGCAGGGGGGAGGGGAGTGAGAGTCGAGGGTGAAAGTCGTGCGTTCCTTTGCAAGGGAGAGGGGTGGTGAAAGTCGAGGATGGAAGCCACACAAAACTTGTTGGAGGTCTTTCACGGTTATGACCTTGACGACACATGTCAAAGTCGCGGTCGTTGGCGCGGCGTCCTTATCAAACATATTTTAAAGCAGGGAATTCTCGTGTTATATAGTTGAATTTTTTTATTAATTATTAATAACTTTTTAACGAATAACAAGCGACGGTTAAAATTTGTTGGAGGCCATTCAGGCCATTCAGGGTCATGACCTTGATAACATATGTCAAGGTCAAGTTCGTTGAAGGGGGGTCCCCTGATCGAAACTTTTACCAGATTGATTTTGAAATTCTTAAAATCTCTTTCGTGCCTCCATCAATTATGAAGATAATGTAGATTATGTAGAAATTATGGATGCTTTCTAGCAAGATACATAGATGACACAGTGTAACACAAGTAAATTATTATTTCATCTTTGTTTAATATTTAGCAATAATATACCGAGTGGTCTGTGTCTCGTGTTGGAAAAACGCCCACTGTTGTACTATAATACACGTGCTTCTCGAATGTGTATAATGGTTCATGAAACGCATACAGAGTTAAAAAAATCTTTCTTTGTTCCAGATGTCTCATGATCATCATATAATGGACAGTACAGGAAACGCGTCCCACGGTATGCACATGGCTCATCATGGTATAGACCATGGTATAAATCGTGGTAGTATGGATGACGGCAATATGAATCATGGGAATATGAACCACGGTGGTATGGACCATGGGAACATGCATCACGGTACCGAGACTTCGACAGACAGCATGTGCAGCAGTATGGGCATGCACGGTATGTCGGTACGTATAATCCGATTGTTCAAAACTCGATGCCGTTAACGTACAGTCTGCTCTCCCCGATCCTCAGATGACGTTCCACACCGGCTACTGTGAGGTGGTGTTATTCGAAAATTGGAAGATCTCCTCGATAGGCGGTCTCATCGGTTCGATGATTGGTATCGCTATTATGGCTGCGCTCTATGAGGGCTTAAAATATTACCGGGAGTATCTTTTCTGGAAGACGTACAATGCCCTGCAATACAGGAGCGTTACGGTACCCAGTGAGAAGAATGTGGTAACCGAGGACAACCGAGTCGTTCAGTAAGTTGTTCAATTCTTTTCGAGTGATCTTGTAAAAAGCATTATTTCCCGTTATTTTCGCTAAGAATATTTATTAATATAATTTTATTGTGTGTGAAGAATGAATATTATGTAAAGAATGCTAGATGTAATGCTAGAGAGTGGCATCTTAAGAGATACCATAAGAGCATATTGTAATGAATATATTCAAAAATCAAGACTCAATATTTTTTGCAGGATCACTAAGAATATAAATGATACGCGTAGCTTTTATATTATAAATTTAATCGTTTGATCTGCTTTTTTAGTATGGTTGGCGAAGTAATCCACAAACAACCGTAAGTAGATGTTATGATACACTGAGATCTTCTCTCAGAATTATGCTTTGTCTATTAACGGTTGTATTATACATATAATTGACATGAATCAGTTTGTAAATAGCAACAATAGTAGCAATTGTTTACATTTTGTTAAACAATTCTTACATTATTAAAACATGTGTTAAACAATTCTTACATTATTAAAACATGTGCATGATATATCTTCTTAAGGGGATGCTAAAATTGTCCTACTTTTTTACTATCATTTCCATTCGGTGAAAAATCTCCGAATTGGATTTACGGATTACAAAATTATTATTACAGAATTAAAGTACGCACAAACAGGACCTCAGTTGCACTAGATTTCATGAGAAAATCGAAAAAAAAGTTAAAAAATTCACGTTTGGCTCATACAGTTGTCACCTCAGGTATACATTTGCTTGATATAAGAGTCTTATAGTCTGTATCTTGAAAATAAGCGTGCAACTGAGATCACATTACTGGAACGAACGATATCGAGTTTGTAGAATTAAGATTGAAAGTCTAGAAGAAAAGTATTTTCACTGAATAGAAAATACGGATATTTTGTAAAGACTAGGAATGTCAACAGAGCCGAAATTCCGTGTAGTAGTAATTGCTCGATCTTGCAATAGATGGTGCTGGCATATGTTAAATAAGGACAGATACTATAATGCGTTTGAGTAAGACAGAATGATATATAATATAATGTAAGAAATGAATCAAAGATGTCACTATTATCGAATTTGGAATTAAAAAAGTCTATACAATCAACCTCGATCAAGTTCGGTAATCGGTTTAGGATCTCCTTAAAGAAACGAAGCTCGAACTCCGACGAAGTCGACTAGATGTCGCTGTTTTTCCAGCACATCGACATGTCTTTATATACTACCACACCAATATCTCATGCAACCTATACACGCAGTCGCACGTTCGTGTCAATTTTCGTATAACAAATTCGTCGCGATAAAGTGTCTAAGTCTAATTCTAAGAACTCGACGTTATTCGTTCGTGCAAACTACATGTTTGTGGATTATTATTTCGTAAGTACAGATTGCAAAACTTTCGTATCAAGCAAATGTTGTTACGACTTGACAGCTTGAGACGCCATGTTACACTAAGAAATAGTAAAAAATATATCAATTTCGAAATTTTTGGTCGTTCTCGGCATAAACTCCACCTCACAAACGCCGTATTAATGCGTATACTTTAATCCTAAAAAAGGATTTTCGAATCTGTGAAAGAGAAAAAAGTATTTGTTATACAAAAATTACGATTTAGCCGGTAATACAGACGACTTTAGGATCTCCTTAAGGAGATGCTGAAGCGACGGCCAAACTGATTGAGGTCGACAGATTTTTTTAAATTCCAAATTCGATATATAGTAGTAATATCTTTCATTCATTTCTTATATTTATTATATATCGTTGTGTCTCACTCAAACGCATTCATCTGTCCTTATCTAACATAATGCAACGCAATCTCTTAGAAGATCGAACATCTACTGCTAGACACAATTATTGCTTTGTTTACTATTCCGAGTCTTCGCTCAGCTTCCGTATACACGTCATTTGCAGATCGATATAAATCTTTCTTTTTAAGGTTTTAATCTTATGGTGAATTCGATTGGAAGCACTAGTGCGCACTGGTGCATATTAAAGCCGTTGTACACTGATTTAATTTGAGTATAAAAATGAAATACAAATATTTAAAATTATGAAATACATATTTTACCTAATAGTACAATAAAATATACTGAGTATTTCATGATTTGATCGATTTCTATGTTTATTTATAAACATTTCTTTACGTTATTTTATGTACAACGGCTTTAATTGCACTAGTGCGCACTGAGTGCGTGCAATCGAATTCGCTATTAGTTTCATAAATTCAATATTGTTTGTGCACGTAATATGCTTAGTGCTGCACTGTCGTTTGATCTACACGAGCTATAAAACTTTTGTATTAAGGAAACATCTACGTCAGGTGAGCTGTACAACTCTACGAGTTGAAAAAATATAAGTTTCTAACTTTTTTCGATTTTAGTACAAAGTCTTGCAGCACCACCAAATTTTGCGTCTACTTTAATTTTGTAAAAGGATTTTTTATTCCGTTCAGTAAATTCGGAGATTTATATCGATCTGTAAAGTCCCGACAATTTGGCCACTCCAGCATCCCCTTAATAGATTTCTTAATAGATCCTTCGCTGGGCGTAAAAAGTCATTTGTCATTTTCAACATGTATGTAACTGGCTGTTTTTATATACTTGGTATCATAAATTCCTTTACCTTTAAATTAGATGTTTCTAGTGGGATATGTGCATGCGTATTCATATATTATTTTCATAAATAATATTTGCTACATGTTACGAGTATTTACTAAACAACTCAATCTCTAATTGATTTTAAGGCTCCTGAGTAGTCGCCGCGGCCATGTTGGAATTGTGATGTCATAGGCGAGAAATGATATGTTAATTTATGTTGCATACCATTTGTAAATAAAGACAATTTGGATAAATCTAAATGACGAGATCGCTTTGAAATACTTGTAAAAATTGATGAAAACTGTCTTTTCCTTCCTTGACAGTCAGTAAATGATCGTAAAAGGCACATGAAGTGAACCTTTATTCGGACAGAAAACGATCTGACAGCTGTTGAAACGAGTGAAAAATACGCTTTTACATATAAAATTACAAGATAACTGTAGTTTTCGTCAATTTTTACGACTTTGACAAGTACGAGACAAGTCACATTTTCACAATTAAGCAAATAATAACGAAATGGCATGCAACAAATTTCGTTATCAAAACGTCACTTTTCCACGTCTATAAGTTCAGCCATGTATCGTAGTATGGCGTTGGAACAGTATCAACGCCATTAGTCGGAGGCCTGACGTAACCGGTAGCCATACACTCAAACACGAGCTCATATCCGTATATTCGCCTTAGGGCCATTGTCACCAAGCTTCGATTAACTTAGTTGGCCTAGTAACTTTGCAGGCTTCCAACTTAA